ATCCTGTTTCCCTTTTTGCATTTGCTGCCAGGAGGCTCGGCCCCCACCATATTATAATGGAGCTTTTGGTGTAGTTGGCTCCGTTCTTTCTCCCCGAGGCCTCTCTATGCTCTGGTTGTTTCTTTTACTGCCCAGGTGGGTAGGAGGTATGTGTATTGTAAACCACCCCCAATCCTGTAGGTGAAGAAGGTGGGTTGTTTGTGAGAGAAGACAGGTGGGATAGAGAGTAGAAACCTCTGAGAGACAAGGGAATGAACACTCTTCTGACAGGAAGGTGGTTGGCCAAGGATTGTCACTCACCACAACTGACTCCATGCGACCCGATGGACAGAGCAGAGCTGTTCTCTGGGGCTCTGGGGGCTGGAAAGACTGCCTCATCTTTCATCCATGGAGCCATCGGTGGGTTTGAACCGTCAATTAGCTGCCCATTGCTTAGCCCAAGGCCTTAACCTGAGGCCTTAATACCATCTGTATGCCTCTTTCCTCTGCCCCTCTCCCACTTCTTTTTTCTCTCCCTCTTCTCTCTCTCTCTCTCTCTCTCTCATCTCTTTCCTCTATCTTTAGTCTGTCTTCTGTTTCTGCCCCCCACCTCCCGCCCCCACTTGCTGCTGCAGCCAGTTTAACCCTGTGTTTACCAGCCAGAGAGACCAGCAAGACCTGGCTCTTTGGAAGGCCTCCCTCGCTCCTGGAGACATCCCAAAGAGCCCTGGTGGCAGTGTGGTTAGTGCTTAACTGCTGACAGAAGGATAGGTGGTGGGAACCCACCAGCCCCTCCCCCAGGAGAAAGATGTCTGTCCACTTCCATAAAGTGTGCAGCCTGGGGAACCCTGGTCCCTCATAGTGCCTCATTATAAGGGCCCCAGTGGTATAGTGGCTATGTGTTGATCAGCTGACTGCAAGGTCAGCAGTTTGAATCCACCAGGGGAGTTGGTATTTTTTAATCACTGAAGACTAAGTGGGTGCATAAGCAAATAGGGTGAAGAAAGCTGATGAAGCCTGGCTATTAGAAGTTATAGTGTCTGGGGTCTTAAAGGCTTGAAGGTCAACAAGTGCCCATCTAGCTGAGAAGCTGTAACAAAGCCCACATGGAAGAAGCACACCAGCCTGTGTGATCATGAGGTGTCGATAGGATCAGGTATCAGGCATCAAAGACCCAGAACAAAAAAATCATATCATTGTGAATGAGGGGGAGGGTGGAGTAGAGACCCAAAGCCCATTAGTAAACAATTGGACATCCCCTTACAGCAGGGTCACAAGGAGAAGATGAGCCAGTCAGGGTGCTGTATAGCACCGAAACACAACTTTCCTCTAGTTCTGTAATGCTTCCTCCCCCCACTATCATGACCCCAATTCTACCTTACAAATCCGGCTTTACCAGAGCATGTACACTAGTACAGATAAGGGCTGGAAACACAGGGAATCCAGGACAGATAACCCCCTCAGGACCAATATTGAGAGTAGCCATGCCAGGAGGGGAAGGGGAAGGTGGGCGGAGAAAGGGGAAACTGGTCACAATGATCTACCTATAACTCCCTCCCAGGGGGATGGACAACAGAAAAGTGGGTGAAGGGAGACATCAGTCAGTGTAAGACATGAAAAAATAATAATAATTTATAAATTATCAAGGGTTCACGAGGAAGGGAGGGGGAAGCAAAAGGGGGAAAGGAGAAGCTGATACCAAGGGTTCAGATAGAAAGAAATGTTTTGAGAATGATGGTGGCCACAAATGTACACATGTGTTTGACACAATGGATGGATGCATGGATTGTGATAAGAGCTGTAGGAACCCCCAGTAAAATGATTAAAAAAGAAAGACTTAGTCTCAGAAACCACAGGAGCATGCCACCCTGTGCAGTAGGGCTGCTGTGAGTCCTATCGACTGACCGGATGGCCATGAGTTTGGGCTCTTCTGGTTTGAGTCACAGTACCTGGATGGTCATGATTTGATTTGTGGTTCTTTTGGGGGTGGGGGAGATAACCCAGGAGGTGTGATTAGTCCCATCTTAACCAAAGGTGAAGCCTATGTCTGGGGAGCTTGAGGGACTGTCCCAGGGTCACACAACTTTCCATCTTATTTTTGAGATCAGACCTAAAGAGTCCAACCCTACCCGTCTGTGCTGTACCTGTCTGGCTCTCGGTGCCCACCACACCACCCTCACGAGGCCTTCAGAGCTCACGGGGTCAGGGTCTCATGGGGTCGGTACCAAACAAGAAGTCCCCCACCAGCCCCCCTTTCTCCTCACCAGAGGTCTCTTCCAGAACCGAGAGTCTCAGCATGGACAGAGGGACATGGTAAATCCGGGCAAAGCATTATGACATGGTTCATTTGGGGATCATTCATTTGCAAAATCTCTATTGAGAACCAGGTGGTGTAGTGGTTCCGAGCTGGGTTGCAGTCTGCATGGTTGGCAGGTCAAAAGCACCAGCAGCTCAGAGGAGGAGGGAGACTGGGCTTTCTACTCCTGTAAACATTTACAGTCCCGGAAACCCACAGGGATGTCACTATGCGTCAGCGTCAACTCGATGGAAGGAATTAAAAAAAAATTTTTTTTTAGTGGTAGTGTAACGTGATGCACACTTGTACTCATTGCAAGGTCAGCAGTTTGAAACCACCAGCTGCTTCGCAGGAGAACAAAGAGGCTTTCTATTCCTGTAAAGAGTTACAATTTCGGGAACTCACAAGGACAGTTCTACCCAGTCCTGTAGGGTCACTATGAGCCAGAATTCAGTGGATGGCACTGAGGGTTTTGTTTGTTTGTTTTTTAATATACCAGGGCTGATGAGAGGGCAAGGCAGGAAGGTGCTTGGGTACAGTGTTGTAGACCCTTTCTCTCTAGTGCGGGACCCTGAGAGTGGGGGAATGAGTGAGTGCCCACCCACCCCACCCCAAAGTTTACACCCTCGCACCTTGCCTGCCTGGCCCTAGCCCCAGCCCTGGTTCCAGGCACTATGCTGGGTGCTGGCAATTCAGTGGTGAGCACAAGTCCCCCATTCTTCACAGCGCTGACTATCTAGGATGGGAGTCAGACCATCATGGAATGGCCATGCAGATACAATAAGGTATGAACCTGGCGAACGCTCTAAAGGAAAGAGGGACGGACAAGAGGAGGGGCTGTTGGGAAGGGCAGCCAAGGCTCAGGGATGGGTGGGCGTGTCCCAGGGGTGCTGGAGGTCCAGGATGTAAACTCTCAAACTCAAGGCCATCGAGTTGGTTCTCAGTCACCTCGTAAGATCCCAGGGGTTTCCAAGGCTGTAACTTTACAGGAATAGAAAGCCTCGTCTTTCCCGCACAGCGGCTGGTGGTTTCAAACTGCGGACCTTGCGGCTGGCAGCTCAGCACATAACCACTACACCACCAGGGCTCCGGCCAAGGCTGCAGCAGGTTCAAACACCCTGTGGGCAGATGGAACAGGTAAACAGGAGGGCAGAGGGGTCAGAGCTCGGGAATGCAAAAACAATTCCAGTCTGCTTAAAAGCAAAAAAAAAAAAAAAAATGTATTTTTATTTTTTGTTCCCAGCCTGTTTTTCATAACAGGTTGACTTAAAAAATGAAAGGCAGCCCAGTATGACATCGGCCACAGGTACATTCCTGATCGCCCTCCTGAGCTGTCCCCAGCCTCCTCCAAATCCATTCACTTCATCAGGGTCAGGACCAGACTCTACAATTAGCTACATTTCCTGTCTGGTGACCTGCCCTCTGAGTGGCTGTGGATTTGAACTCTGGCTGTGCCGCTCCAAAGCCCAGGTCCGATCCATTTAGACCGTGGTGCCAGTTGTATTGTGTGGATCCAAGTGAGAACTGGCCTTCTGGACCCAGGGTGGTCAGGGATCCTTCGCAGCCCGCCAGCCTGGCCCCCAAGTGGTCCCTGGACTTGTGGGCTGAAGTTGTACCCCACTACAGTTGTACCCCACTACAGGATGACTGAGTGATCATTCTGGATGGGGGGTTGGGGCGCCAGCTAGAGGTGAGCCAGGCCTGACGCATAAAGCTTGGATGGGGGGCTTCTATGTCTTGAAATGACTGTGTCTGGAATGGGCTGGGGGACCTTGGGTAAGTCACTGCACACCTAGCCCTGGTTTCCGCCTGAGTGACCCCCAACCCCCGCCCCCGCCGCGGTGCCCTGGGGACCCTCCATCCCCTGGGCTACCAGGCCGGCCCAGCACCCCGCGCTGAGCGCCTGCATCCATCCTGCGGCCCCAAGGCAGGGCGGGGGTGGCGCCCCGCGCGCCCGCAGGTGGAGAAGGGTGCAGGGATGGGGTGCAGCAAGTCAGTCCCCTGTGTGTTCCGGTCTTGCCACCAGGCGCTGGGCTGCTTGCGCTCTCCGGGACCTGCTCCCCCAGCGGGGACGCGGGCCGAGTGACGGGACCCGGCCCCCCTTCCCCAGCGCGGTGCCCCCCCCCACCCC